GCCATATTGGAGGTATATCTCCTAAAATAGCCAAAAAACGGTAAAGAATATTTAGAGACTATATCGGTTATGGCAAGCCCTGTAAAAGGATATATCGGTTGATATATCAAGCCATGTCAGGGAGATTTAAAACAATTTCTACATATCAACATAGACACATGAATGTTTGATACTTTGATGTGAATACATCAGATATTTGAATATCTAAGTATCACCTATACATCATGTATGCATACATCATTGAATTTTCCATCCAACATAGCTAGAGTTCCATTGCACACTTGTGCACCTAGAGAGAAACGACACGGAGCTATGTGTGAAATATTAGGACAACCAATACAGTAGGATCTTTAAAGGTGAAAGTTTACTTTGAGTTTTCATTCAATTTTTATTGTCATGAAGAATGACTTGAGAATGCATCTTTTGGTTTCCTCTTCCAGTTATAGATAAGAAAATTATCATTTAAGACATAAAAATAGGATTCAGATGAGAACTAATTGTATAGAAAAGCATTAGTTTGTTTACAAGGAGGAGGATTGTATGGAGATGGATTTTGGGAGGATAGCGATGATGGAGTAGAGGAGGAACTTCATGATGATGATGATTGACGATGAGATTAGATTAGATGCATATTGTTAATTTATTATATTAGAGTCTAGACTATTCCTGTTTGACTGTCTTTTTGCTGATATTTTGGGACTTAAACTTCTAGATATGAGATATTATATGTCTGTTGTCTAGTATGTATGCATATTTAATTGACTATTATAGTTTTGGATAGCATATGTGTTGGTATTTTAGTATTTATGCATCTTTGATTGAGTGTGTGTGTGTGTGTGTGTGTGTGTGTGTGTGTGTGTGTGTGTATATATATATATATATTATTATATAGATATATATATATATATATATAGTAATTATTATGTCAACTTAGTGGTTAAGAAAAATATCCACCAAAACTTTTTAGACACTCATATTGGCTTGGGATTCATAAAAGATATGAGAGGTTTTATATATATATATATGAGTGCTAAGAAGTTTAGTGGACATCATTTAAGTTAAGCATAAGATCAAATATATTATATATATAATATATATATATATATATATATATATATATACATATATATATATATATATATATATATATATATATATATATATATTAGTATTTTATGCACCTTTGATTGAATGCCTGAATGTACATCAACTTAAGTTTAGAGGTTTTTTGGTTTTTGTTGGTTCTTATGTTTTTGGATATCAGTAAACTTTGGCTGTAATATTTAGGGGGACTGGGATTGTATTGTGTTAGGTAAGCAGGATATTTTAGTTTGTTTCCTTGTTTTTATTTGAATCTTGACAGGTTTGGAAGCTCTGAAGCTGTTTGACTGGAGGTGACGACAAAGTCCGCTCCCTCCGTCAACATCTCCTTTGCTTCCTTCCCTTTACTTTTTGTATTTTTGGCCTTCTTATGTACATTCAGGCGGTTATATATATTAGTTTTTTGAACAGGGTATCTCACCCTGTTTTTGGCTTCATATATATATATATATAGATATTATATATATAATATTATATATATATATATAACATATATATATATATATATATATATATATATATATGAGAATATGATATGCTTGGACAAGCACAAATTTTGTGCTTGGTAGTGAATGTGTACAAATTTGTTCTTGGTAGTGATGTATCACATCTCACTCACTCACTACTCTATGAATTTGTTCTCACATTTGAATGAGTGGAGGAGGATTTGACACTTCACTATCAAACATAACTTTTTGTGTTGGTAACCAAGCATAACCCATATTTCTCTCATCCTCTCTCTCTCTCTCTCATCTCTCTATAATATATATAATATTATATATATAAATTATATATATTATATATATATATATATAGTAAAATCAAAAAGAAAAGATAAGCCACTCAGAAACCGCTTAGGCACCCGCATACGCGTCTAAGTGCTGGGCGTCAGGTTCAATGCCTAAAAGAAGCACTCAGAAACCGCTTAGGCACCCGCCTACGTGTCTAAGTGCTAGGCGCCAGGTCCGATGCCTAGAAGCACCCAGCGTTTAATATAACATTGGCAAGCTTTATCAATGCGTCTTTTAAGGCCTCCGTAACTTCAAATTTGCATTTTAGGCTTGATAGAAGGGCTTTTTTGTAACTATCTTTGTTTGAGATTCTGCACCAAATGAGTCACAGTTCGAAATATAGGATTTGCAGAATAATTTGTCAATATTTTTGTTGGGCTCTCAACTTCTGGTCTTGATTCCGGACCAAGTAATAATGATTTATACATTAGTAAGCCGCCTTGCGCAAACACATTAAACGTGAAATAAAACAAAGGGTCTCTTATCAAAGGAACAATTGACTTACATAAAAGCATGGAAATCCATTGATAATTTGTTTCATATGTCCTTGCCTCTGTCGAAAATTTTGGCTCTCTTTCTCTGCAAGATATAAGTTACAATTATTTTGTTAGTTCTATGATGTTCTACTTCCTGCTATAAATCTTGTTAGAGACTATACCTAGATTACTAATGAATCCAACTTTGAGTGGAAACAGTTTATTGCAATGATATTTAGTTATTTACTCACTACTCTTAGGTGTCTCTGCACTAGTGTATGCATTTATTCTGGTTTAGCCAACATTTATTAACTGATCATTATGCTATTAGCAAAATATAGTCTTTCCATATCATAAAAAAATAGAAAGGCCATAATATGTACTAGCTTTTTCCTCTTAATTTTGCTCTTGTATTGAAGCTTATTTCAATTTTAAAGTAATACAACAGACTTGAATTTACATGTATTCTGTTCTAAAACCGTCATTTAGTTTGATGCTTAATGTATCTTCTCATTCCTTACATTCTAACATGATTATATGTCACAGTGCATATTTGATGCTGCCATAAAATATTGTATTGAGATCGCAACTGATCGGCATGGATGCTGTGTCATGCAAGGCTGCATCAGTCACTCCTCTGGCGATTATCGGACAAATTTGATTGCAGAAATCTGTTCCAATGGATTAATGCTCGCCCAAGATGCTTTTGGGTACTTTTTTTGTTTTGCATCTGATTATACATTTATTACACATTTTTCTTGTAGATTCTTGTGAGCGTGCATAAATACATGGTAATAAATGGATAATAGATAAACGCGTAGAGGATTACTACTTCGATTTTCTTTTCATTTTCCTTATTGTGTACAATATATGAAAGTGAAGTTCTGCTGGTGTTGTTCCTTTGTTGAACTTATTTTGTTGAGGTTAATCTTCCAAATGTTAATTATGTTTCTTGTTAGCATTGTTTCATCAACTTACTGCCCTTCTCTTCCATGATATTTTTTTTCCAGAAATTACGTGGTCCAATATGTTATAGGCTTGAAATCTCATTCGACAAACACAATCTTGGCATCTCAATTTCAAGGACATTATGTGCAACTCTCTATGCAGAAGTTTAGCAGCAATGTGGTGGAAAAATGTTTCAAGGAGTTTCATGAAGAGCTTAAGGCTGCAATAGTGTTTGAGATGTTGGCAGCACCTGAGCTTGAGGAGTTGCTGCAGCACCCTTTTGCAAACTATGTTATCCAATCTGCTCTATCAAACACCAAGGTTTCTATCATCGCCCTTGCTTTTATTACATTTAAGCTATGATGCTAATATGCTGGATAATCAAAAGACTAATATGTAAACTGCATGTCCAAGGGGATTCGATGTAGAGCGTGTGTATCATCATCTTCATCACTGTCATCTAAGCCTTCTCCCACAAAATGACTTGACTGTAGTCTTCACTACTAAATTGAGTCTTATAAAATTTAACCAAGTTTTTCAATCGGTACACTCTTAAGAAGGTTCAAATAAATGTGTCTGTAGTTGCTAGCTTAAGATAGAATTGATAGGAATTTCAAAAGCCATCCACAGAGTTAATGTCATATTAATAAATGACGTATTAATAACTGGACATATGATATATAAAATTTAGTAATATGAGTGTTTTGTAGAAAATTCATGTCACTTTTTGAGCTTTTGAAACCACATGTAATTTCCTCTTAAGAGAAGTTTCAGCGCAAGTAGCTTTCTTGAACTTCTGATGTAAATACATTGCGTGTAACCTTAAATCTTGGAGCTCTGGAATCTTGAGTAGGAAAAAGAATGTGACTAGTAAGAAATTCATTTGTTAAAATATTTTTAGAATTTTCTAGTGAAAATAGTATATTTATGCTTCTAGTCATCATCTCCTCTTAATGCAGGGTGCAGCGTATACTGCACTAGTTGATGCCATCCGCTATCATGCTGCAGTTCTACGAACCAGTCCATATTGCAAGCGAATCCTCGCCCTCTTAAGAGGGAAGTCTCTTGCTTTCTGAGATGGTAAGTAGCCAATATCAATGTCCTGTGTCCAATAACCTCTAATTTTTGTCCCTTGTGCTCAGTACTACCAAGTTAATTTATCCTCATTTAGCTATAAAACTATTCCATGTTAATTATAAGAAGCATATTTCTAAATACTTTTGGGTTTAGAGCTGTATCCATCAAACAATTTTGCTGAGTATGTGTATTGGATGTCAATATCACGTTTACTATCTGTATGCATCCGATGTTCCGGAGGTTGTAACACTGTACAGTAAAGACATTACTTTTTATGGGGGCTTTCTTTCTGTTAAATTACTTTTGACTATTATCTTCCGAAATGAGAATTTGATGGGATTGTTTTATGAAGTATTTGCCTACAGGTTTTCTTATATCTCTAGTGAAGTATGTATTTGATGAGTTTGGCTCCTTTTTAGCAGTTGCAGTTGGGCGTACTTCTGTATTGCTTCTTGAATTTGTGATCTCTTAGGGCCCGTTTGGTTGGGCAAATTTGAGATGGAAAGGGACTGTAGAGCTGCCAGCTTTTGGCAGCTTTACAGCAAAGATGCGATTTTGCTGTAAAGTTGCCAAAAGCGTCAGCTTTTGGCAGCTCTACAGTCCATTTCTCCCTCCATTTCACCCAACCAAACGGGCCCTTACAATGTGTTGCACTTGTCATTTTGTTGACAAAGGCATCTAATTAATTTAACTTTTCTGTTCAAGTACTTTCTTCCATTATGCAGCGAGCCCCCTATCATTTTCGTGTGCATAATGTCTGAAAAACATACAAAATGTCATTACCACCGTACTAGCATTGGCGCATGTGCACGTGCAAGAGACACAAATTATTTTTAATAAACTTAAATATGTCAAAAATACATGGGGATCCGATTAAAATGTGAGACGCTACCGTTTTATTCTACAGGGACAGATAAGGTTTTGTTCATTTATTATATCTTTTGTTTCAGTTTTATTTCTTTTGTTACGGAATAAAATGCACGCATCTAACGTACAAAACTTATAAATTTCCGAAAAAAGAATAAATTTTTTTATATTTTGTTTCTTTGTTATTCTTTGACTTTTTCTCCCCTACACATGTCAGAATAATGAAAGAAACTTATGATTTTCATTCGTATGCCTTTAAGAACCAAAACGTAATGGATAGAATTATAAGGGCCCGATCCCATGTTCATGGCATCGATTGGAAGAAAGAGAAAGATGACCTTTGTTAATTTACTTCCTTGCCCATGTTCATGTCCTCCATTCATACATTTTTTTGACTACGCTAACAAAGCTCTTTATATAGCAGTATAAATATCCCATTCTCAATAACCGCAACAATGACGTATTGATTGTAACCCACCCTAGAAATTACACTAATGTACCCCTGAGCAATGAAAAATGACTCGTGAATTGACACTTAGCCAAGCTAACAAACAAAATACTCAATAAGTTTCGATCTACTTTCAAGATCCCCACTTTTTTTTTGCCCGGGGATAAAGTAGAATTCACTAAATCCGCAATTTTTTAATTGTTTCCCTTAATGTATTCCAACACACGTGGATTTATTTCTAATATGATTTCCCATAACATTATGAAAATGTGTCGAGCTTTATAATAACCAGAATTTTCCGCCTCCCCACCCTACTTGTAAACTGTACATGGGATATGTACATTGGATCTCGACCATTTTCGTAAGAGGGTAAAATTGTCAAAATGTACTCGGCGTTGACAAAAATAAAATTGGACAAAACACTTAAATCGAAGACGACTCCGCTGGGGATCGAACCCAGAATCTCTGGTTTCGTAGACCAGCGCCTTATCCATTGGGCCACGGAGTCAGTGTACGAAGAGTCGGCAATTTATCTCTTATTTAAATGACAACTTTACGAACACTTACATCCAAGTAGTATTAACAAACTTAATCAAAATGGTATTCTTTTGATACAAAAACATCGACGACTTTGTATGGATACAGAAAATCAATAAAATAATACTTCTTATGCATAATAGAAACAAGGGTAAATTATACTAAACCCCTAAGAACCTTTACTATTTTGTAATAAACCCCCAATAACTTCTAAAGTCGCACTAAATAGCCAATAACTATTGGAATTGAAGAAAATCTCCAATAATTTTTCACATTTTGCTGACAACCCCCATGATGGCATTAACCCCACAGTCAGGATCTAAATGTATAACCAATGCGAGGCCTGACATCATCATGGGGTTATCTACAACGTGCAGAATTTTAGTAGGAGTTTTGGTGAAAGTTCTTAGGATTTTAGTGTAGTTTACCTTAAAAACAAAGAGCAGCATTCTTGATAAAGAGCGAAGGCGTCTACGCGTACAAGCAGTGGAACCTTCAAAAGCTCCATTGCTTTCCGTACAGCTGAGAGATGTACTTCTTTACTTTGAGACGTCCTGCAAGCAAGAAGAGGGTCAGCCGTGTTTCAGGGATGAGAAGAAAGTGAATGTTTTGGTTGGGTACTGGAATCAGCTGAGTTTCAGGGATGCCGACAAACGAAAGATGCACAATCAATGGATTATGCACGAGTAACGTGTTGATGAATCGGTGTTGGGGTTTCGGAGTGAGATTCAGGATAAGCTGGTGTTCCGTAAGATCTACAAGAAGAAAGAGTTAGGGGAGGAAGAGGGAGACGAGGAGGAGGAGGAAAGATGCGCGAAGAGACAGAGGATGTGCAATAATGAGGCTGATGTAGCAGTTGCTGCGTCCGCTGATGGCGATGTTAGTACTTATTCACCCACACATTTGGTCCAGTGAAATCTCTGGAAAAGTATGAATCTACTGCAAACCGCATCCTGCCTCCTGCAGCTGAACTTCTTCGTCGTAAATGGGAGGGGCCCATAATGAAACTTCATCATTATCATCATCACCAACACCACTTGTTGCATTTGCTGTTGCTGATTATACTGCTTCATATTCAAAATACCTCCTTGAGGATTACCTTCAATACCCTGAATCCCATGATATGTCTGGAAGACATGGAATTTTCTGCAGATGCCCTTGCACTACCTGCAGCTTAAACTTCGCCGTCGATGTGCATAGTTTCGCCAATATCATCGTTGATGGATGGGACCCGTGATGATCACGAGTTTGCTGCTTCTGCTGATGACGATAGTGCTTTTTATACAAAGTTATCAGAGGACTTTAATGCTTTCTCATCGTGAAATTGCAAAGCTCCTGGAAGATAATCCCTCAGATGCGGTTGCATTTTACCCTCTAGCCAGAGACTTCACTCCTGCAGACCACTTTGACGACGTACGCAGATTATAATTGGGATGACATTGTAACTAGTTTTGATTAATCGTACTGAAGCATATATACATCTCTCTCTTGCTTGGTGTTGATAGTTCGAGGATTCTTGTATATGTACTGCTAATTATAGTATACAACATAAAACAATTGTTATGATGTTTTCCTGGCTATAACTGATTGCTCTGATGTCCTGTTGCCTACATACTCACTCGTCCAAACTTTTGTTTTTCTGATTGTTCGCATTATCGTCAGTATGTAACTCTTTTATTACGGAATTACTACCAAATTTGTGTACCGCCTAGATGATTAAAGAGGAGGCGAGATTACGAAAATCTAGCTAAATAGGAACGCAAAGTAGAAGTTGAAGGGCTAACTGTGCTTCATCCTCACCCAGAACACTAGTGTCGTTTATGTATTTTACGTCCAAGCTAGGTGTAGGGACTTCTGATGCACACAACCTTATTTCTTGTCATAGATACATGAGAAAGTATAAAATGCGGTACTTGAATATCTGGCAAAATTACATTTCTTAATATGTTAGTATGGTACACAGTCATAATAGATTAATCATTTAGAACATGAACTTTATTTAATAATAATGTTTTTACGTACATTAAATAGCGATAATAGCAGGACATAGCCCCAGTAATTAACTCTCTGCAGCAGCAAGCTCTAGTGTCTGATAGCATTGTTGTGCGCCTTTGCGGAAGCATGCTCGCACACCGAACGAGTCCGTGAGCACGGGAGAAAATTAACAAATCCAACATGGGTACAATCCAAGTGAATAATGACAAGCAAATTACAAACACAGATATTTTACGTGGTTTGGCAATTTGCCTACGTCCACGGGAGCGGCACAATTAATTTCTTATTAGTCACAAGAAATTACAAATAAGAGAGAAGATCTCAAGCTTGAGATCTCTCAAAACAATAACAGTGTTTTGTAGGCATCAAAAATTGCCTATAGTTCTCCACAACCGGTTCAGTGTTAACGAGCGACGATGAACGAAGGAGAGCTAGTGCATCGTCTAGCCGAGACATTAAGCTTTACACCTCTGAGATCCCACGCGGATCGCGGGGTCAGAGTTTTCTAGAAATCCCCCCGCGGATAGCGAAACTCGCCCATTTTATCGGACCATGAATCTGGAGTGCCGGTGGTCCATCGGAATCAACTCCCGTCACTAGGCAATAAGAACCCACGCAAAGCACAGATGATTGACAAACAGATCTTGGTTTGTTTGAAAAGAGTTAGTATCGGTTTTGTTTCATTGTGTACCGGTCTTATAAAAAGGCTATCTTTTATTTCATTGTAACGATCAAAGTTGTAATGAATGCAGCAATGAATACAGCAACTTTTTCCGCAAACAAGCGCCAAGCAACGCGTTGCGACAAAAGTCAACGTTCGACGATTCAAACCCTAG